TCTGGAAACTCCAATGTAAGAAATACATGCTAGAGAGGAGGGTTGGTCTCAGACAAGACTACCACACGACCCACCAGGGAAAAATATATAAGTGTGTGTGCTTTAATTCTAACTCATGAAAGAGGTCCATGGAGCCATGTGGTTGAAGGTGACTTGGGAAGTGGGGGTTCAATGATTTTTAAGAACTGCCCTCCCTCTGGCTTCTCATCCTAATCCTTCCCACCTGGCCTGTGACATTGTCCCCAAATCAGCCCTACCCAGAAGACAAACAAGCAGGGAGTTGCTGACAAAGCCCAGCTCAAACTGGTCTATCCCTCCCACTCCTGCACCCTTGATGCCCCCAGAGGAGGGCTTAAGAGGTCTGGGTGGCACAGCCAATCAGAACTCCTACCCTTCAGTGAGCTCAAGGAGGGTGGGAGATCAGGAGGAGAAAGGGGAGAGGAAAGGAACTCAACCAGACTAACCCTGGGACAAAGCCTTGGAGACTGGGGGCAGGGGGAAGAAATGCCTGGGTCTTGACCCATGAGTGGATTGGCTCAGGGTCCATGCCAAGTGTTCAGGCAACACAAGTGCTCCTATCATACATGCACATGTTGTGTCTTCAGCTGTTCTGGCTCAGAAATAACTTCTCCACCTATTGCTTGTTCTGACCTGACCCACATAAACACAAACATCAAAATCCATGCACTTATAATACCTTGTTAAAAGAAGGAAAGGAAAGGGATGTAAAAAAAATCCATCAGCTGTTTAATGAGAGGGACTTGATTTTCTGCACTCACTCTCTTTTGCAAATCCCTTCTTTAAAATGATTCAGTTATTCAACAAACTACAGGTACCAAAAAGCTTTCAGAAAGTTTCCACTTTTGCTCCATTCCCCAGCCATGCCAAGCCATGCCAGAGGCCATTTAATAAAGCTAATGGCTCCTGGAACATTTCCAGAAAGATAAATCAAAAGAGGTCTCCTATAATCATCCTACCTGCCCTCAGGAGGATCAGAAGAGAATGAAAACGTGTACAAGGTAAGTGTGTAAGGAATAATCAGTCGGAATTTGAATTCAGGGCTGGAGTTCATATCCACACCTGCCGTTCAGCCTAATCTAGAGTCCACATCTGTAAAACCTAATGAATTGGGTAGGATCATAAGGGCAAAAATAGGAATAATCCAGAGGACACACCCACAACTTCAGATACCTGTACAGTTGAGACTGACCTGGAGGAACTTTGTTAGAAGAATACAAGCCAAAGAATCTCTAGAGCTCATTCTGAGACAGAGGGAAGGAACTAGACTATTCTCAACATCACTTGTCCCCTTGTATCTAGGACAGGGACGACACAGGAGCTAAAGTGGGGGGTGGGGAGGCAGGGAGGAAGCGAGGAGATGGAATTGAGGAGAAGGGCGAAACAGAGACCCAAGTATTTTTTGGCTGATTGGTTGGGGGCAGCCATGTGACCCTGCTTAGCTCATTCCTGATTGGTTGTTTGACCTCTCCTTGGGTGAAAGACCTAGGAACAAAACCTAAAGCTTTCCGGGTTGGCTGGGAACCTTAGCACCTGATTGACGGCCCATCCCCCGCTCCAGAGACCCTCCCCCCGAAATGCGGTGCGGCAGAGGGAGTGGGAAAACCAAGACACGGGCCCTGTTTGCGTTTGTCTTACTTCCATTTGTATTTGTCCCACAAAACAGCAAAAACCTGGCTGAAGCAAATTATTTGAGAGAAAAGAGCATCTATTATTACCAGGAAGGGGAGAGGGGATGATATTTAAATGGAAGTTTTGAGCCTAAGAAACAGAAAAAGGGATGAGGAAGTCGTGGAATCCCCAGAAGATGATGTGTAAATCTGTAAAACAGAAACCCATGCAAACACCCCTCCACAGAGAGCAAGGGAAGGGGACGGAGATTTGGCCGGAGTGGGGAAGATGCGAGTCTTGCCTGGGTGTGGCACTTTGGCCCTGGCTAAATTCTTGGTTGAAGACCATTAGACTCTCTCCCTAAGACCCTGGGGAGGCCCGAGGGAAGGGAAGAGTCAAGTTATAGACCAAGGGAAACTCTCCTCTCCCTGCTGCTTGGATGGAAAGTTTCCAGAAACCCTCAAAATCACAGACCGGTGGGGAGGAAAGTCTGTAGGAGGGACAGTTATGAGGAAGTGAGAACCTGAGTTAACTTTCCGAATTGGCTACTGCGGAGAATCCTATGGGGTCTCAACGCTTCCCTGGGAAATAAAGTATTTTGGAGGAGGGAGACGGCCAAACCTCGCGCGGAACTGAGGCTCCAAAGGGAGGCGACGAGGGCACCTCCTCTCCCGCGCCCCAGCTCCCCGCTCTGGTCAAAGGCTAGAGAGGGAGGCGGCCCGTTGCGGACGCCTCTTCACTCTCCCAGGGTCGTCCTGTGCTCTCAGTCTCTGCTTGAGTCCTGCTTCTTCCTCAGCGCTTGGGAGGTAAGGGACACGCTAGCAGCGTCCTGTCCCCGTCCCACCACACACCTCTCCGCAAAGCGGGTGCCCAGATCCTCTCACGCCCCAAAGCAGTCCCTCCTTCTCTGGAAAGGTGCAGACGCGGATCGCTTCATCCGCTCCTCTCCCCATTCCCGTTGCCAGCCCTAGGGCCCGCTTTCCACCCTGCTTGGGAATCCCTCGCCATTCGACGGGTCCCTTCCAGGAGCCTGAGTTCATACGTTGTCACTTTCCTGACTTAGCTCGGGGTGACGCATGGGGAGACGTAGGCACTCAGCAGGTATGGAAGACACGTGCCTCCCATGCCCGATGTCTCTGCTGCTCCTTCATAGAAACCTGAAGGGAGCCCCAGCCTGAAACTGGCCCCAGAGCCCAATGCCCATTATTGGGCCCTAAAGGCTCCATCCTTCAGAGGCCGCTCTCCTCAGGCTGGAGGCTTTCCTGGCCAACCCAAGGAAGGCATGGCCTGCACTCCCCTACCGCACTCCATAACAGGAATCTAGGCCTTTGGGGCCTAGTTTTACCTTAGTCAAGGGCTAGGGATATCAGGAAAGACCCCAACAGCTAGAGGGAAGGGAGGCATGAAGCCACATTGGCTCCAGACAGACCAAGACCCCAGACTACAGAAGCTGGGACAGCTACCCACCCAGGCCTGGTAGTGAGGAGGGAGAATGCTTTGGGACCCCCCCTGGATTCAACGGCCACCTTTAAGATGCTTCTACCACTTCAGATCACAGCCCTCCTTTCCTGCCTCTCACCCCAGCTCCCAGCCCTGCCTGGATTCCGAGCACTGGCCAAAGGCTGAACTGATCCCTCCCTGGACCAAAGGGCCCTAGAGGCACTTTGCGCTTGCGCCTAGAGTTTACACACTCTGGCAAACACCAAACACCCATGTGTGTGCCGCTGTCTTTTTCCAAACTGAGGAGGGAGAGGGCATCAGGGAGAACTGGAAATGCTCTAAAGAACTCAGGCCTCGCTTTACCAACCTAGACTTGCGGCTAGAGAGAACAAGGGGCAGAGGGAGGGCTAGTCTGGGGAGACAAACTCCCTCATCCTCCTACCTCACAGCGGCTTCTTCTCTTCCTCCACCCCAGCCTGGGGATGCGTGAGGAGGCCTTCTTCCCTTTCCCTTACTGAGTGGGCACTACCTTCTTTCTTGGGGGGCAGGTGAGATTAGGTAAACGGAAAAAGGGTCAGAGAGAGAGAGAAAATTAACTTACAGCGTTCGCCTGGGATTCATTTGCGAAGATGTAACCTCTCACCATCATCCCCAGCGCCGTAATCCCCTCTAACTGCCAGGCCCTCTGTCCTAGCATTAAACCTCACCAGCAGCTGCGTGGCTGGACAGTTAAGATTATATATGATGTAAATATATTGTGGGTTTGTCAGCTCTCCCTACACCATAAAACTTGGTTTAATGACATCACGTGGTCCCCCAAGAGCCACTCACGGGCTTGCCTTCGGGCCATTCACATAAATAACCTCCAAAAGTTTCAAACTCCTAAATTCACATAGAAGCCGTTCGTATTTCTCTAATGCTCAGTTACACTAAAAAGCCCTTGTGCTGCTCCTTTGCCCCACCCCCATACCCCCCTTGGAGGGTGGGGAGAGGGGAGAGGGTGGATCCTTATTTATTTATTTACTTACTTATTTCCACAAGGACCTGTAGCCTTCGAGGTCGTGTTGATATTTTTTCCTCCTATTTTTTTCCTTCTCTCTCCTCTAATTGCTCAGAGTGGGCCGTGTCCCTCTCTTTCCACTCCCCCGGGAAGGTAAGTCACGTTTCTTCCCCTTCTTTCTCGCTGCCAGAGCCGGTGGGTTTTAGAGCAAAGTGGAGAGGCAGGCTTCATGGTCTCTGGGATCCACTAACTCCCCCAGAGCAATGCTGAACCCTGGTACTTGGAGATTTTTCCAGGAAGCTGGCTGGGGGAAAATATCCCCAGACTCCAAAGCAGCAATCTCTGCTCAGGGTTTCAGAAAGCAAGGTTCTGGGCCCGTGTCCACTCCCAGGACAGGGGAGTAGGTCCGAGGCCTCTGGCTAGGTTGTGGTGGCTGATGCCGCTGAAATAGGGGCTGAGGCCTGCGTGCAAGCATGCAGACTGCGACAGGAGGGGACCAAAGAGGCAGTCACGACTGTGTCTACCCAAGCCTGGTCAACCTGAGTCAAGTCTTCAGTTCCTCCAGAGAAAAACAGACCTTAACCCTGCGGGAGGAGGCAGTCAGTGCCCAGCGGGGCTGGTGCACCCTGCCCAGCAAGTCTAAACAACATTGCCCCCACCCTGGCAAAGTCCTTGGTTTTCTTTCTGGGTCAGCGTGTCCCCTGGGGAGGAAGCTCAGGGCCTCTGCAGCCCAGCCCAGGAGTACAGGACGAGTGACGGGCTCCATGGCCTTTTTCTTAGTTAACTGTTACCCATTGCAAATGCCAGTGCTTCTCCTTGCTTCACCGCTCGCCCAATAGTTTTACTCAGCATGGAGAAAAAATTAAAATAACTCCCTGAAGAAAATTACGCATTTTATTTGAGAGAGAGGGAGGAATTGGGAGAGGAGGTACATAGGGGCGAGGCTGGGCTGACTGCTGTGTGCTAGTGGAGGAGAGACATTACAGACACCCTAAACAGGCCTGGGTGCAATGTGAAAGGGAAGGGTGCAATTCAACAAACATTTGTTAAGACCTCCTTTGTGCTAGGCATGGGGTGAGGAAAGGCTCTTGGGTCTTTTAAAAAATGACAGACAGGTAGCTTAGGCAGTGAGATGCAGAGAAGTCAGTACTTAAAATAAATCCAAGGAGCATCAGCATTAATAATCATAAATATTTCCCTTGCTTCTCCTCAGAGCCTCTCTGTTCCCTTTCCCTCTTGGCTGATGCATAGCCCAATTCCTGAACGCCCCTCCACCCCAGTGCGGCTCCAGGAAATCTCCCCATTGTGGGAGGTGAGAGGAAATGCAGTAAAGTTTTATGGACCCTTCCCACATTTGTTTCTCCTCTAAAGTACTTCCTCCCCCATCCCATCCCAAGAGCCTAGAGCAGAGCAGTGCATGGAACTAGGCCAGTCTAATATACCACCTGAATTATCTGCCTTTTCCCCTTCCCTTTAGCCCAGCTCCCCCTCCACACAAAATCCCAGAGACTGCGATAAATGATGGCAAACAGACGCAACTCAGGCACTGGTCTACACAGCTTCTTTCTCAGTCCTGCCATAGCCTTAGGCCCTAGAAGGTCAGGAGTCAGTCTGAACATTTCCTGCCAAGCAGGTACACACTGCAAATTGCCCTCCCTGCTCCCCTCTCACCTGGTGTTTTAGAAAGATGAGACACACCTCCAACACTCCAGCACCCCTTTACCAAGAAGTACCAACTCTTTCTAAGTATCCAAACTGGTGAGGGCTCAGCCTGCCTTCTCTGTCCAGCAAGGCCTCTCAGGGACTACCTAGCCCTGAGAAAGACCTTCAGAGACCCAGAAAGGCCTGTGTCTGAGCCCCGATGAGCCACTGGCCCCTGCAGATCAACTCTGGCATGGAGTGACACCCCTGCCAGTCTAGAGGCCTCAGCTCCACCCAGCCAAGGTGAGAATGGGGCCCAAAGGCTTGAATGCCTTGGATAGCCACAGCATAGGAAATGCCAGTACCGAGAGCCTGGGTGCCCTTTCCTACCCTTACAGGCTTTTCTGGGAGCTAGGAGTCAGGAAAGGAGCTCAATTTCACCTCCTTCTTCTCAATAGCTCTAGAAGCTCCTAAGAATTCAAAAGAGAGGATGAAAGGCTGTGGGCCTCCCCCTACACCCTCCAGCCCATTTAGACACTTTTACCCAATACATGCCCCAAACAGAGAGGAGCCACTGCATTTTTAGTCCTGTTCTCTCTTTATCTTTATTTGATATGACAAAATATAGTTTCAGGAAAGACCTGAAGTCAATAAATAGTTGGACAACAGTGATGGGACAGGAGGGCACAGAAAGTCGTGGCAGGGACTACTGGGCAGCCAGGAGCCTCTGGGACGTTTTGCTGGGGTCCAGAGGTAGGGAACCCAAACAGCTGAGCTAGCTAGTGGTCTGAGGTTGGGTAGCTGAGAGGGCATGCAGAGGGCACAAGCTGGAAAGGTTCCTGGGCTTTGGGTGGGGGAGAAGGTTTGGAGAGCATAGGGCAACCGTGGGGGCCCTAGGCAGACTCATCTCCCCCTTTCATATGTAAATCATTTAAAATGAACATGGAGTTTATAGTCGCTACAAGGAACACCGGGAGTCTGGCGCCGGACTCTGCCAGGCACAACCACTCTCTCACCAGCCTAAGCGGGAACAAAGGAGAGGGCGAGGCCGAAGGGTAGGGCGCTGCAGGCCCCATCTGAACTCGGGCAGGTCAGGCAGAACTGGAAGCCGGAGAGCGAGGCAGCCCAGGCCAAGATTCGTTCAGGACCAGCCCAGACTCCACAGGCCTTTGGGGAACCCCTGCGGAGCTTGCCCTGGGACCCCGGTGCTGAGCGGAACAGAGGGGAGTCCGGGCAGCGCGGGCAGCCCCGCGAGAACCCGGGGTTGGTTGGGATGCGGAATGCCAAAGGGAAGCGCTTTTGTCTGTGAGGCCCGGTAGCCGCTGCTCCAGCCCCCGCCCTTGCCCCAAAATACAGACAGAGGAAAGCCAAGAAGGAAAGGCGCGGGGACCGAAGCGGGCTCGGGGTGTTCTCTGCGGGCCTCCCCGCGGCCCCTAAATTGCCTCTTTGCTCTTCATTTTGGAATCTTTCTTCCACTTCATCCTGCGGTTCTGGAACCATATCTTGATCTGTCTCTCGTTGAGACACAAGTTGTTGGCGATCTCTATGCGCCTGCGGCGAGTGAGGTAGCGGTTAAAGTGGAATTCTTTTTCCAGTTCCAGAGTCTGGTAGCGCGTGTAACTGGTTCGGGACCGTTTGCCGTCCGTCTCTGGAATATAAGCCCCCCAAGCCAGGAAGGGGTAGTTAGTGTGCAGAGCCCCGCAGCCCCAGCCCAGTCCCTGGCCCCCACCCACGGCCGGAGGGAGAGGAGGCGAGCAGGGCAAGACAGGCCCGGCGGGCCGCTGGAGGGCCCGGCCCAGCCCAGCCTAGTAGCCTCGGGAGAGGCGTCTCCGCCCAGGCCGGAAACTTTCCGCAGCAGCCTTCACTCAGCAGCCGGAGGGGCTGAGGCGGGGGGGAGAGGGAGACCCAGGCTCGGACCGAACAATAAGCACCCTCAAGATCCGAACACCGGGGACCCCCCTCCCGCCCCTCCCGGGTCGCTGGAATCCTCCGGAGCTGCAAGCTCCGGCTGAGCCTGCTCCACTGGGGAGGAAGGGCGGGAGCCGCGGGGGATCCCCGCTCCGGAACCCCGCGCTCCTCACCCTTCAGATCCCTCTATTTTTTTAACTCCCTCCCTCTCCCCCAAAAATTGAATATTGCCTTTTATACACGTTTTGTTCCTATGATCCAATTATGTCGTCGTAAATTTGGGCGCACACAGCCTCTAAGCCTTTTAGTGGACAGTTTTACGAGCCATTGATGCCTGGATCGTAAAATTTATGGCCGCAGGTTTTTTTTCTTTATTTGCCCCGCTTGGCCTATAAAACCCAGGCGGACCCGAGCGCGCAAAATGAAGTCCTAAAGTTTACCGTGGCTCATGTGCAGTTTGGTCATCCACGGGTAAATCTGTGGCGGGGCCGGTGGCTGGCTGAGTCCGGCGGTCTGCCCTGTCTGCGCCTGCTCCTCTTTGATCTCCCCACTGCTCTTAGCTCGCTCCTCCAGCGCTGGGCGAGCCGCCTTCTGACTGTACATCCCGGGGTTCAGAGGAGCCGCTTCATCTCTGCCCAGAGCGTGTCCCGGAGCGGCCGCGGCGCTGCAGGCGGGGCGGTCGGGGTGAGCCCGGGGGTTGGCAGCCATGTCTACCCCGTGGAGAGAGTTGGAAGGCGCAGGCGGTGGGAAAGTGATGCTTAAGTCCAATCCGCCGTAGCAGTACCTGGATGCCTGCACCTCTGAGGCCGATCCATAGTTCCCACAAGTTTGCATGTTATAGGTAGGGATATTGGGGCTCTGCTTATAGAATGAATTGGCTACGTAGGAGCTCATGGCGGGGAGGGCCCAAAAAAAATTCTGCACCCTTTTTGATTAAGGGTGATTTGTAACTCTTTGAAGTTGAGGGGTTTTTTGTTCTCCAAAGTGCACAATTTATAGGTGGAGATATCTCTTTCTTTATCCTATGCGCTCTTCCCAAATAAGGGAGCCTTAAATAGAGTCACGTGACTCGAGCGGCCACTCATAAATTTGGCTTGATGACCTCCGGGAGGTTAGTGATGGAAGCCGGTGAAACGCATCTTGATATGTTGGCAAAGCCCAACCAAAGGGGAGAGGGAGTGAGAAGAGAAAGAGAGAGAAGGGGGAGAGAAAAAAATGGTTCTTGGAATTGGGGGGTAGCCGGGACAACGAGCCCACAGCGACACCTGGTGCCTACTTGGAGGAATTGCAGCCTGGAGCGCAGGCTGGCAGAGCCGCTGGATTTCTACCCAGAGAGGCTGATCCTTGCTGCAACAAACCCCTGAAATGGCCTTTTAAATTCTATTTACTTTTAAGGAAAGATGAGGCCTCATTTAGGAAGCACAGAGGGTTTTTTCCTAACGGATAGCCCTCTCCTTCCCACCCCAGGGCCTTTCAATCTTCAAAAATGGCTGAGTCTGGAGATCCCAGGGGACTTTTCTCAGGTTCTCTAAACCAAGGATTGGGGTTTCTCCCCTGAGGCCCCAAGCCCCTTCTACTGCTGAGGAGATGCCTGTCAGCATAGAGAAGTGAATCCAGCCTCTAGAGAGGTGGACAGTCTACCCAGGGAGGAGCAGTACTGGGTAGGCAAAACTAGGTGAGGGGGTCATTAGCTGAGAGTGCTGGGAACTCTGGGATGAGCCTGGAGGTGAGGAGCCAGAGGGCTGGAGTAGACCTCCTCCCTACACCAGGGACTCCAAAGGGGCAACAGGCAGTTTTCACTTAGGGTGTGTTTGTGTGTGTTCGTGTGTGTGAAGAACCAGACACAATGGACTGGAAGACTGCTCTGCATCCCTGTGTATGGTCCTCATGAGGTACCTATGCCAGATCTTTTGAATGGAAAATAGATGCTAATTGAGGGCATGGAGAATCAAGAGAAAAGCCTCCACAATTATTATAAGAGCAGGGCAGAGGGAAAGCCTTGTTTTGTGTCTTTTGGGGAAAAGCCCTCTAGACCAGGCTTTCCAGTGGTCTAGATCTAGAAGGAAAAGAATTTGGAATCACAGAAAGGACCTGGCTGGGAGTGGAGAATGAGTAGGTGCAGGGCAGGCGCCTGGGCAACCTTCACAGCCTGTGGCCAAGAGCTCCGCAGCCATTCAGTCCCTTTCTGAGCCCCCTGCCCTAGCCCCAAGTCTTATTCTTTCCTGCCTGCCTCTCCCCAGGAAATCTCCGCCCCTGCCAGGAGAAGCCCCCTCCGGCTCCCCACCCCTCCCCCCTGGTGGAGGCGCTGGAGGGGGCGCTGGAGGGGATCTGGACGGTCTGGAAAACTCTGGCGGATTTTTCCCCTCTGGGAGACCCCCTCACTACCTCACCCTCTAGGTCCACTCAGGTTTCTCTGGCTGGGCTTAGGCAGAGAAGGCCTGAGCTGGGGAAGGGTTAGGGGCTGGCTGCGCTCCACACCCGAAGAGTTTGAAGGGAGAAGAAAGAGTAAGGAACCAGATTGGATTGGGTTTGAAAAGAAGAAGGAATTTTGTCCCAGTCCTGTCAGGCGTCCCAGAGCAGGCGAGAGCTCAGTTTCCAGACTTTCTTTTTCAAGATGTCCTTGAATCGTTCAGGCCCTGCCGAAGGGCTCAAATCCCGCGGTCTTCATTCCCCTCGGCTCTCCGCCTTCACCACGTTTCGCAACAGCCGGCCTGGCGCGGGCTGGGGTTGCTCATGCGGCGCCCCTCCTCATTCCGAGGAGTGGGCGGGGGACCCTGGGGCCTGAATAAGGCTTCTTTTCTGGCCTTGGGGGGCTCAGGGTGCAGAAGCCAGGACCCCAGGCTACCACAGGCAGGAAGAAAGGCCTGTGTGAGGCTGGAGACCAATCCGACTAACCCAGGCTATTCCCCCACCCCTAACGAAATCCTAGGCGGCCTTTTTTGCGGGGTGAGAGTGTTGCTCCGCGTAGGGGACCCAGGGAGGCCTCCCAGCACCCCCAGCGAGCTCAGCAGGAGAAATGCGGAGGCCAGGGCTCTCCGCGGCTCCCGGGAAAGGAGGGTGAAGGGGGCTGGGTCTTGCAGGCGGCGGGCAGACGCGGGAGTGCTGGGAGACTGCTCCAACTTTTACCCCGAGGCCGGCGGGTGAGCGAATTAACAGAAATCCCAATATAAACTTTAAAAATAATATCAGTTTTATTAAATATTCGAGAACGGATCCAGAGGTTGGATTTATACAGAAGGGTAACACGAGGGGATTTTTTAAATGTTTTCTCCTACTGTCTAAACAAACGTCATTCACTTTTTTTCTCTTTTTGTCATTTTCCCTCTTTTTTTTTTAAGATGGCACTGGAACACGGACGGTGCTAAACATAAATATAAATACAGAGACCACAAATACAGCTAAAAATATTCACACAGAAACGGTCACAGTTTGTAATATGCCATAATGACCCCCAGGATTCTTTAAATACAACTCTTCTGGGCTGGGCATTTGCTGGGGCAGAGGGGCCGGGCAGGGGCTGCGGGGAAGCCCTGGGGGTTGCTGTGGGGCCACCACGCGCCCTCCATCGGCCTCCCGCCCGCCCCGGCTGCCAGGCCGGTCCTGAGGCCCTGAGCCGAGGCCCTGGCCCGGGAGCCGGCCCTCTGCGCGAGGGCGGGGTGGGGGGCGCCAAGAAGGTAGGTGGCCAAGTCCTCATTTGGAGGGAGATCTGTGAAGTCTGAAGAGAGGTTCAGGGGCCGAGCCCCCAAGGCCTAGGCGGGGGAAGGAGCCTGCAGACAAGCCGAGAACGAGCTAGCGAGGGAGCAAGGAAGAGGAGGCGCGTGGTGAAAGAGTTTGTGCGGTGGGGAGGGGGTCCATAGTTGACTTTCAGGTCCATATTTGACTCCCTAATTTTGTTTTAAGGAGTCAAAACACATCAATTGTGCCAGTGATAAATACAGAGTGTGTAATTAGGAGGGAGTTGGGGGAGCAAGGGCGAAGGAGACAGAAGGGTGGCAGGGACAGTCCTGGTCACTCTTTCTGTTTCTCCTCTTCTGTCTCTTCCCGCTTTTCCTCTTTTCCGCCCAGGCTGTCGGCCGCGGCCCCTCCGCCGCCCCCTGAGAGCGTGGACGTGAGATTAGATTCTTTTTTCCACTTCATCCTGCGGTTTTGGAACCAGATTTTGATCTGTCGCTCCGTCAGGCAGAGCGCGTTGGCGATCTCGATGCGCCGGCGCCGTGTTAGGTAGCGATTGAAGTGAAATTCCTTCTCCAGTTCCAGGGTCTGGTACCGCGAGTAGATCTGGCGACCGCGCCTCCGGTCCGCTCCATAGCCGACCCCTGGAGATCCGGGCACAAAACACACTAAAAGCAATCAGCAAGGCATCCTCCGCAACGATTTAGCCTAGCAAAGTCCTGACCCTCGCAACTTGGCCAGCAGCTCACGGGCCCCCTTGGGCTCCAGCCTTCTGCCTTGTGCCCTGCCCCACCCCCCACTGAGGGTACAGCCAGGATCCCAACTTCACGCAGTAACATCACCCCCCAATAGGTTGGTAGGTATGCATCCCAAAGAAAGGGGTGGGGGGCAAAAACCAAGCAAAAAGCTGGAAGTCTAAAACCTGGCTTTTGAAAAATCCCAAACACTGGGGGTGAGGGCCCTATTTCTTAAAGACTGGGCTTCCCCCCTCCCCAAGCACCTTGGGTCCTTGGAAACTTCTCCCCACTTCTCTGTCTCCTCTTCTCCCCCTCCCTCCTCAGCCTGTTTCTACTTTGGGGGGCTTCCCCACTGCCTGCCCCCTCCTCTCATCCTCTGCCCTGTGCCTGCCCCCTCAGCTCGCCTTGGAGCGCTCCAATCCGTCAGGGGCCGAGGGGGCCAGGCCCCTGCGAGCAAGCGGGAGGCGAGCAGAGGGGGTAAAAGAGGGGGCCCTGTCTCGGCGTCGGCGAGGAGACGAGCGTGATTGTTTTTATGGGGCCATAAAAAACTCTCTCCGCCCGTTCTTCTAGGGAAGCCGGTCATAAAGCCAGTTCAGTTTATTTAATTTATATCTTGGAGCTGTAAAACTCACCACTGTGCGAATTCATTCGCTGCATCCAGGGGTAAATCTGGATACTGGCTTTCTGGTCCTGGGGCGCAGTCCTGCCCTGCTCAGAACTAAAATCCTGAGCGATTGAGGTCTGTGTGTTATGTCCTAAGGTGTTTTGTCTGCAGTTTGAGAGCATGTCTTTCTCCTGGTAAAAGGAATTAGATCCATAGTCATACGGCCCCCGGCTGGAACTGAACACGACATTCTCCTGTGGCGAATAAAAGGGAGTCGAGTAGATCCGGTTCTGGGCAACGGCCGCTCCATAGGTCGAGAAATGCCTCACTGGATCATAGGCGGTGGAATTGAGGGCGACGTTGGGGAGGACGTCCTGGCCCCCGGCGAGGTGGCAGGATAAGGAAGGGTTAGTGAAGTAGGAATTCATCCCTTTGCCTTTACCTGGTCGGACTATGATTTCTTTAATATTTATTTCTGTCTCCAGTTTGTACTCGGAACTAGATGGTTATAGGGACGGCTCCAATCCAGGACAGACAAAATGACAAAGTCAGCTGACCCCCTTCCAGCCAATCGCAAGCCAGATGTCAAGAAGGGGGAAAAAAATCGCTTCTGCTTCTGTTGATTCCCTAGTTGAGACTAAGTGTGTGGCTTGAAAGTAAGACTTGGATTTCTTTTTAAAATATATATGTAAGGGAACTGATTTGGAGGTGAAGGAAGGGTAAATGTCCACGAGCAGGGCCTTGGGGCCCGGGAAAGGAGAGCTGCCCTCCCAGGAAATCTCTCAGCCCCAGCCAACTTTGCTGTGCTGTGGCCAGAGCCAGGGCTGGAGAAATCCGTTTTCAATCTGATTTCATCTTTTATATATGCCCCCTTCTAAAATTACATCCTGATTTCTCCATAGGAGGAGCTCCCTCCCAGTTCTGGGGGATCCCCAGAAATCCTACAGGAAATCCTGGTTTGACACTCCTTAGAGTCAGTCCTCATCACTAAACCAGTACATTTTCCCCAATAATTAAAAAAAATCAAGAGTAGAAAGAAATGGCATAAAACATGGTGCTCAGAGAAAGGACAGTGTGGCTGAGAGGGTTTTTTTGGTGGGGGGCAGGGATGTAGGGAGCAACCAGGTCTGAAGGGGTAAGGGTGGGACTTCAGGGTACAGTGGCAGAGCTGAATTGGCAAAGGGGCCATGCATCTGCTTTCCTCTTCCTCCAAGCCCCCCTGTACCTCCTCCTCAGGACCCCCATTTTGGGAAAACTCTCACAGCATTTTTGCCTAAAAGGGAAAATGTATAAAAATACAACAACAACAAAAAGAAAAGGAGAGAAAGAAGTAAAAGGTGGGAGAGAAAGAAAGGAAGGAAGAAAGGAAGAAGAAAGAACTCTGAGAATCTTTCTAGACACATCAACTCCTGTTTATGTTGGTCAGAATTTATGATTTGGAGCCAGCGAGGGCTGGTGGGGTAATTCACATAGGATCCAGCCAGAAAGAAAGGCTGGTGGGGCTCTGATGGACAGTTAGCATCTTGCAGGCTCAAGCCCCTGCACAGATCAGAAGCCCCCTGCCCCTTCCAGACTCTCTGTCCTGCCAAGGGAGGCACCCCTGGACCTGAGCTCTGGGGCTTGGGATTCCAGCAAAGGGTTCCTGGGGAGCTGTCACCCAAGGGCCAGCCATACCTGGTGGCCCTGGGCCTCTCAGGAACCCCTACCCCCATTTTCTTTCCACTTTGGGGCTGTTGAAAAGCAAGAGGTTAGAAAAAGGCAGCTGAGTCCGAGGCTTCTGAGGAAGCCGCAGTGGGCTAGCTGAAACAGCAGAAGGTGTACAGATGGGTTTTTTTCTCCTGATTAATCCAAAGTTAATTTGATATCGTGACATAGGCTGAACATGTTTTGAGCTGACAAAGAGGGGATGGTGGGACAAGTGAAGGGAGCAGTGGAAGCTTTTATTTTCCCCTTACTATTTTGGTGGTGGTGGTGGTGGTGGTGGGGAACTGGCTATAACAAGAACCCGGATGTCGCCGGATTTTATGATCTTTTCCTTCTGTGTAACAAAGCGGAGTAATCAATGGGTAGCAATAAAGCCATAAACGGGACTACGCTGGGAAAAAACTCGTTTATTCATCTTCTATAACGTTAAGGTTTCCCTGGAGTGTCGCTAGGGGGGAAAAATAAAGTTTCGAACCCAAAAGCAGACAGTGTGTAGTAGCTGGTGGAGACAACATGTTAGTTAATACATGAACCTCGTTATGGAGTTGCAGAGTCTTCTTGTCAGACAATTTGTGTTGGCTCTTTAAAATACAGCCCCAATTCTTCAAAAAGGAGGGAAATTTGTTGGTATTTAGAAAGGTAGGGAAAACCCCTATAATTATAAAGGTTTCCCCTCTTGGACCATACTTTCTTCTCCCCAAGGAGGTGAAGGTGAAAGGGTAGAGGAAGGTTCTTACATTAAGAAAAATTTTGAGATGAATTTTCTTATTTGGGGGTGACATAGCAGGTACACAAATCCAGACACTAGCATGTAATGCTTTTCACTCTAGAATCCAGCTGTCCTTGAATTCATGGCATGCCTGGACAGAGGTTTCCAACAGCTGGCTGGGGCTCCAGGCCCCCTGGAGGGCAGGAGGGAGAGGGAGAGAACTAGGTGGGGGGAAGACCCAGGGAGCTGAGCTAAGGAACAAGTCAATGCACCCCTACACACAAATAGCTGCTCTCAGAACTTCCAGCCTCATTTCTGCCCTAAGGGTAGCAGTGTGTAACACACAGAACAGGCCAGAAGAGAGGGGAAACGCCCTCCTCCCCACATTTCAGAGAGAGATTGCTGGAGGGATAAATCATGTCAGTGATATTTCCTTCAAGATATTAAATTGTTGCAATGTACAACAAATTGAATGATGGAAGATAGGATGTCTTAATGAGGTTTCACTTTCAATGACTGTTGATTTTCTATGTATTTTTAAATCTCTTTTATGGGTGGGTGGGTGGGGGAAGGAAAGGCCTTGTAAGAAAGAAGGGGCTTCTGGAGAAGCATGTGCTGCAATCCCCAGCAAGGATGCCTGGGTTTCCTGAGACACTCTTAAACCAAGTCTGGAGGGGAACGAGGCCCCAAAGTTGGGGACAGTCTCCTTTAGGGCCTAAAGGCAGTGGGTGCGGGGGTGGGTGACCTGAGAAGCAGAATTTAAGTCTCAGCCCTGGAAAGTTAAGTGTTTTATTACGTCCCTAAACAGAGGGCAGAGACTGAAAGGTCTCGCCGATATATAATGAACAGAAACCAGCTGCTGGGGGTGGGGGAAGGCAGAAATGCTGAAAGGGGGAGAGAATGAGAAGCAGAAATACAAATTAATAAATTCCCCATGCTTAAAGACTTTCGGCAAAATTAATTTCCAACATACTCTCCCCAATCACCTCCCTTTCCTGAGGAAAGCAGCTTCCTTCTTTCAGTTAGAGCTTTAATTATGCAGCTGAAATTTGCTGGAAGGATTCGCTCCAAGGGGGGAGAACAGGTCAGATGAGCCCGATATTCCCTCCGTTGGATTATATTTTCTTTTTCTCATTTCATGTTAATTTTATTTTTTTGGCTAAAGAATTGACTATCTATGGGGGGAAATCTGGGACTTGGGTTTTTCTAAATGTATTTATATTTTCCTGTTAAATTTGAAAACAATTATGGAAACTCATCAGCAGAGGCAAGAGCAGATGTTTTATTAAAACTGCAGTTGAGCTCTGTAAATATGCACAAGTCCTTGGAAGGGTGGAGGGCGGAGAGAACTTGCTCTTTGTTTCTATAAAATAGCCTAGAGAAATCAGAGACCCCCATAAGGCCCTCAGTTGCTCTGCCCCTTGGGCCTCAGGAATAAGGCATTGCGAGGGGGTTTGCTGGCGAGAGCAAATTTTCACTTTCGGAGCCGTAATTAGTAGATTCAAAAACAGAATTCCAAAGACACAAAAAAGAATAGAGGTGGAATGTTGCCGCTCATTGCTCCAGTCCCCCCCATCCCAAACACATGCTTTCCATGAGCGCTAATTATAGGAGAGGAACTTAACTGCAGGCGCTGTGGGCCTGAGTGGGGGGCAGTCCCTGGCCTGGAGTCCTCAAGGCTAAGGGTCGTGTTGGAGGCTGGATACTTGATGTTTCCCAGGGTGAGCCAAGCACTCCTACTCCAGCTTTACCCCGACCAGGCTCGGGGCTGGGTGCCTTTGTAGCTCTGAACTGTGGACTGGGTGAGTGGGAATGGACTCTGCCCCAGAAGGGGCTCATGGGCAGACCTCATCTTGCCAGCATGTGCTTTCCACTCTGCTCTGGGAAAAATACATTAATTTCTTGGAGAAGGGTATCTGAAGTGAAAGGGATAAGATCTGGATTTTTTTGTTGGAGGATAATCTTTTCCAGAGATCATGCTTATTTTGTGTTTTGTCGGTCTTCTCTCTCCCCAGATCCCCCAACTCTGCGCGGATGTCTGTGACTCACCCAGCCTCGCACACAGATACACATTCTCCATTCCTGGCTGTCAGCACCACCAACTACAACTCGGTGCCTCTGGAGGCTACTCAGGGACCTGGACACTGGAACCGCGAGACTCAGCAATCGGCCTAGGCGCTTGGCTGCCTGGAAGCGACTGCAGCTGCCCTAACACCAGCACCCACCCTGGGCCACCTGCCCACCCCATTCTCAATTTTCAGAGCGGGGAAGGAGCGGTTGCCCCACCATCGCCTTTTGTGCCACTGGGCGAGGGCTAAAATCCCTCTTGCAGAGAAAGCTGAGTTTCAATAATTGTTCAGCTCACCTTACAATCGCACTGTTTGGTTGAGGCTTTGCTGTTCTAGAGTGACTGATCAGTTGGCCTTACTGGCTTATGATTAGATTTTTTCATTTAAAAATTAAAAAAATTAATCCTACTCCAAACATCTACTGTTTTGTGTATGAGTTCCTTTGATCTCCATGGAATCCGGAATAAAGGGATTGCAGAGTCTCCTGGTCTGCCAGATAACCTGAATGTGGGGAACGAACTGGGTCTGCTTGGGGACACCAAAGCATAGCTCACCAAAGGAGCCCCCAGTTTCTCGCAGATACAGTGGGGGAAGTTGTCTGAGCACATATCTCCCCATACACACAGTGCATTCCAAAAAAGAACACTCCTGCTCCTTTCAAAGTTCAGGCTTGGAGATACTTGGAGAAAAGTGAAATTCGACACACCTAACCCAGAAATGGATCCCATTTGGGGGTGCTGACATTCTGGGGACAGGTCCCAGGCTGTCCAGCTGAATGGAGTTGGGGGTCAGCAGGGAGGGAGGAAGGAGGAAGAAGCCATATGGGGCATGTCAAGCGCCTGAGAACTGCCCCCAAACATCTCAGAGGCCTGGGCTGGAGATTCCTCTTTTA